AATCCTGAAATCGGCAAAAAAATAAGTAAGCCAAGACGCTGTTTTGTTTGTTTATATGACCATAAAAAGATTCTACTCATTAAGCTCTTATAATAAGTAGGAAAGAAAGCTTCAAAGAAAAAGGAAATAAATATTTTAGAAAACAATTAGCTACGAGCATAAACCTGTATGTCGGATTTGTAGAATAAATTCCACAAACAACTTAAACATACATTATGCCAGAGCTAAATCTGCCGATGGCAGGTCTTCCTTTAGACCTGAAATGTTATCTAAATTATTAATTATATACATAGGACCATGGTATTTCATCCAATCAGTAAAACTAGACACTATTTTTAGTCGGGGGCCCCAAGTTCACAAAACATTCCCAGTCTTAAGTTAAGAATTTAATCACTGTTTATGAGAAATTTCTTTGATCTAGAAGCACAATTCTTATCAATGTAATTTGATAGATTAAAACAACTCAGGGCCAGGAATTATTCCTTACACAGGGAAACAAGACTGGAAAAATCCTGAATGTTTTTGACAAACATTGGACACGATTCTTAGTCATGACTTACACCACTTACATGGGGCAAGGGGGAACCAGACTGGACAGCCAGTTTAATGTGAGAGAGAGAGAGAGAGAGAGGGAGAGAGAGAGAGGGGGAAGTTTAACCTCCACTCGACACAAACTAGGTCATTTTGGGACTAACATATGGTTCAATTTTATTTCAATAATCTGCTTGCGCGTAGGGGTCTTTAGCAGTGGGAGAAAATCGGAGGAACCGGAGAAAACCCATGAGGTTGGACAGGAGACCCTACACCTTGTCACGTACAGCCGGGGAATCGAAACCACACCAGCTGACTCAAGGACTGCCAGTTTAATGAGCCATCACCATACCTGCGGAGCTTGAAGAGTCACTGACATTTTGGTGACTATTACTTCTCTTTAAAACATTATTTTGTTTTTCATCGAGCCCGACTATAATTTATGCATGCTTCTAGAATGTCCACAATACATGTATTTTACCTCAAGTCACTCGTGCATGACAAATATTCAGACTGTTTATAATTTTAACTCTATGATTCATACATAATTTTAAGAGACATTGACTGACATCAGCACAGCGTGTATTTTCTGAATTTTAGAAATGAAATGGGGTTTAACAGCCTCATTTTCTACACCGGCTCGGATAATCAAGATGCATATATATGTCATGCAGTCCCGTTGTTAGCCAAGAAAGTTCATTGGGATTTTCAGGCGAGGTTTCTCCTTATCAGTGGAACAGGCCAGAGGGTCTGACAAGGACAGCTACATGTATCTAGTCGTTCGATTAGGACAAAAAACTGAGACCCTGTGTACACATTGGCATGCACGTAAAAGATCCCTTGGCAGTTGTAATTCGATATAAGAGTAGGCCGTAGAGCCGCTGCCCGGGCAAAATTTCCCTTATAGCACACGGTATGGCATAAGCCCGTCTTCATTAGCCCAGATGGAGCAGAACAGAAGGACGTTAAACCTAAACCCCATTTCATTTCAATGTAAATTTAAAGACAGATATTTTCTCCACGGAACTGCATAAAAAGAATTCATAAAATTCCATCGCAGAAAACTGACTGCATACTAAGCCGATTTAACAGTATTTAAATAAGAAGCATTTAAGCCTAGATGTTAAAAACACTCATGGAGAGGAAGAACGAACAATTAAAGGCATCACACTAACTGAATACAGAAACTCATTATTCAAATTAAACTGCACCTATATTTCATTATTAAATCGCATGTCATCCTAACCCACCGTTCTTAATCAATTCTGAAATGGAAAGGCCAGAATTGGGTCAAATGAGGTCCCAGTAGGAAATAAGTTAATTAAGTTGCCATTCCCTTTAATATAACCAGACTTCAAAAAAAAAATAAAAAAAAAAATAATTCTTGGCAATCTGTTATGTAGAATGGTGATATCATTAACTGCACAACAAAACACAAACAATATAGAACAAAGTGGTCAGAAGAGCAAGAAAGATTTTCCTGAATGCTTTTCACATGGGACTCTAAGGTACCGTAATAAAAATACTATAAAATATCATATTCCTGAACCAACAATATTATCCACTTAATTGTCAGTTCAAATCAACATTGGTCTTGTGATCTTACAGGGAAAAGATGGGCTTCTGATATCCAGTATTCAAGACAAAATAAACATTTTCCTATTGGTACATGAATCGTGTACCATAATGCGTTTCAGCGTCATTTGGAACAAGGGACTTAAAGAATGCGGCTAGACATATTCCACAAGTCATATCAAATGATGACGCTATATTCTTATCTGGAGAGCATGCACAATAAATATCATCGGTGTAGACTGGAATAACCAGACGCTTAGTATTGCTATTAATTGAGACTTATGGCGTATTTCGCCGAACATAACTGATTAGAAATTACAGTAAAGTAAAAATCAGTTTTTTTACAGTCATATTACATTATTATATACGTTGCGACCCTCTTGTGTCAATTTCTAGGTCCCAAATATTAGCGATTTAGCTCCTTTAAAACTAAATTATTTGACATGTAAATTAATTATCTTAAGAAATATTCATTGATACAATCTGATACATTGTATTATGTTTATAAGGAATTCAATATCTAGTTAAAATAAAAAAATAAAGGGCCTACAGTGTATATCCACAACAAAATATCCACACCCAATGACGGTTTTCCGGTTTACTAAGAAAACATAAAAAAAATTATTAAAAAATCAAATTTCTAGAGAAATGAGGGGGGTAAGAAATTTTGTTTTGAAAAGATAAAGTAAAAGATAGTAACTATAGGGTATGATAGTTACAAGGTAGTCATTTGACATGAGCTATATTTAGATATAAGGAAAATGACACATTGGTCAAATTAAATATATAGGACACACCCAGTTATAAAACTCAACCACAGTAATATTAACTCATATAAACACATGTATATACCTCTAATATCATATTGACTCTAATCATTGCTTAAAGATACATTATGTAAGATTTAGATAAAGAACTAGCCATTCTCGCTATAATAGTTCGAAAGTAGATGATGTAAAATGAATAATTTGAAAATTTCATTCAAATTACTCTATTGCAAGCGAAGATATTAGCCTTTGAAGGTTTGACAGACGTGTGCAATAATTTCAACCACCGTACTGGTTGATCGAAGCTAAGTCTCGGTCCTCCATATTTGATTAAATCAAAGTATCACTGAACCATTCTAATCTATTTAATATCGGAGAAATCTGATGCCATCGAGAGTTGATTAAGGCCTGGATCAGTTAATTAATGTCTAATTAATACTTTAGAAAGCATTTCAGGCCTAAAGAAAGACCTGCAATACGCAGATTTAGCTCTTGCATAATGCATGTTTAATGTAATTAGGCAAATCTAGTATAAAACAAAAAACATTCTTTGTGAAGAAGAAAGACTATTATATTTTTATTACTGAATGATTTTTGGAGCAGTTCTTTTAGTAATAGTAGCAGGGTTACATTTATTTTTTTTAAATATTTTATTCACAGGATACCAAAAAAGGTTTATATAAATCGACTTCTCAAAAGCAAGATACATAAATGATATAAACATACATTGATATGGAGTATTAAAGGGTTACATTTAACTATGTATGGCCCAAAGACAATATATACAAATACTGATAAGGCCTAATCCTGAATTTCTAAGTGTAGGTTTTATGTGTAATATTGACTGGCTGACCAAATGAGTAAATAAGACAATGAAGTAGTGAGTACTATAAAACCATTAACTATAAGTATTGATTTTCTGTCAATAATATTCTTTATGTCTAGTGTAAACATGTATCAAACTATAAATTGTTCAACTGATATTTGTATATTTAACGCTATATTTTAATACTACGTTCACATAATAATATATAAATAAGCGTGTATTATACAATTTGAATGGGAACAAAATATTCCCTTTACTGTAATAGTTCATTCCTGTCTGTATGTATTCCATTTCAACTGTGTATTCCATTTGAAATGTGTATTCCACTTGTGTATTCCATTTTAAATGAGTATTCCATTTTAACTATGTATTCCATTTAAAATGTGTATTTCATTTCAACTGTGTATTCCATTTAAAATGTGTATTTCATTTCAACTGTGTATTCCATTTGAAATGTGTATTCCATTTTAACTGTATATTCTAGCTTTAACTGTGTATCCCTGTTTGTAATCTCACTTTGTCTATGAATTCGATCATATATGTTTATTATACATTTTGTGTATGAATACAGTATCATTTTGTGCATGAATACAGTATCATTTTGTGCATGAATACAGTATGATTACTGTGTATTCCACTGAAGTGTGAGTTTCTGTGTGTATATCCACATGTATTATCACTTGGTGAATATACCGGTAATTCAAGTAATATCCATGTTATTGAGATGGAATTTCTATTCTTTATATTCTCATATGTATGTGGTGTAAACAGCCCTGAGTATTTGTATGAAACATGTATGTAGTGTAAACAGCCCTGTGTATTTGTATAAAGCATGTATGTGGTGTAAACAGCCCTAAGTGTTTGTATGAAGCATGTATGTAGTGTAAACAGCCCTGAGTATTTGTATGAAGCATGTATGTGGTGTAAACAGCCCTGAGTATTTGTATGAGGCATGTATGTGGTGTAAACAGCCCTGAGTATTTGTATGAAGCATGTATGTGGTGTAAACAGCCCTGAGTATTTGTATGAAGCATGTATGTGGTGTAAACAGCCCTGAGTATTTGTATGAAGCATGTATGTGGTGTAAACAGTCCTGAGTATTTGTATGAAGCATGTATGTGGTGTAAACAGCCCTGAGTATTTGTATGAAGCATGTATGTAGTGTAAACAGCCCTGAGTATTTGTATGAAGCATGTATGTAGTGTAAACAGCCCTGAGTATTTGTATGAAGCATGTATGTGGTGTAAACAGCCCTGAGTATTTGTATGAAGCATGTAAGTAATAAATAAAGCTGTACTTACATTTAATAAGTTTAACAACATCTATATGGTTTTTATTCGTAACAAGGGTACCATTCACCTGAAATAAACCAAATCAAATTAACAAATACAGTCATGTATGTAATGCTACAAAGAAGAATTTTTGCCCAGGTACCAGTACTTCCGCTGACACTTTTCCACATAAAAGCACAACAATCTGCAAACAGATGAACTTCAGTTTTTCATTCCATCTGAGCGACAAGTCAAGACTTGCTTTGTCAGCCGCATAGGCCCTATCCCCTAACAGGTGGGGATCAAGTTTGAAAGATTTTGAACTTTCTACTTGGCCTTCCATGGTGGTTGAACCCTAGACACAAGGTGCCCCAACTACTTGACTACCGAGGCCCCACAATTAGGAATCTATTTTGCCCATGCATGTAGTGATGTGTATGCCCGGGCTTATATTATTTTCATTCGCTCGGCCCAACTCACTCAGAAAACTCGAGATTCTAGAAATAATTGTGAAAATTGTAATTTAAATTTTGTTATTGCTTGCATTTTCATGTCATGTTTTCATATCATCAATTTGAATAATAAATGACATTTCACACCATCACTTACTAGTGTTATTCATTCATTAAGCATGTGGGTGTTTCCTTGGCTAGGAGCACAAAAATAAATCATGTTTTCTGGAATTATTTTGTTTTACATGATTATAAAGACTTATTTTATCGAAAATAAGATTTCAAATTTATTGACTATTGCTAATATTTAACCATCGTTATAATACAGGCTCCGAGTTCACAAAGCATTCTCAGACTTACGTTAAGAATTTACTCAACTTTCAATCACTGTTTATGAGAAATGTCTTTGATCCAGAAACCCAAAACTTTGCACAAAGTTTCTTATTGATGTATTTGATACATTAAAACAACAAAAGTTTTAAGAGGGGCTATATTTTAGTTAAAATAAGATGAACCGATTTGAGTAAAATCTTAATTTAAGTCTGAGAATGCTTTGTGAACTCGGGGCCCAGATCATCTGGAGGCGGTAGATACATGTTAGTCTCGGACTATATTTATCAATGATGAGTTAAAACATGGAGGGGTTTTCTAGTACATATAATCAATATCAATATGTTTTTTATCAGTAGTTAAAGATAGTCGATATATGTAGTATTAGTACTAATATACTATTTATCTGACACCAGGATTAAATACTACCTCATCTGATCTTCATAAACTATACACCAAAACTAACCTTACTATAACTTGGGGATTCATCTTGTAATATATAATTTAGTACCCACAATCTTAGGACAGAGCACAATTCCAAAATTAACGAAATTATAACCTGGGGATTTATATTGTGATGTATAATTTAGTACCCACAATCTTAGGACAGAATACAATTCCATAAACTCAACTTATTCAACTCCATATTGAACTCTAGTCTACACATCTCAACTTATTGAACTCAATATGTAACTCTACATGTCTCTGTTATTAAGACCCTGGTTTGATAACAAGGAGGTCAAGGGTTCGATTTCAGTTGAGGTTGAGAAAGTTTCGAAGGATTTTCCAGCCGGTCATGGAAATATATCTGGTCATTAAGATGGCACAAATAAAATGAGTTCCTGTTTACACGTTGAACTTATTCAGCTCGATATTGAGCTCTACAACTCAATTTATTCAACTCGATATTGAATTATACAACTCAATCCATTCAGACTGAGTTGAACTCTACACAACTGAATTTATACAACTCGATTGATTCAATACTTTGGTTGGTTCTATGGTCAAATTTCAACCTATGCAGTACATATTTTTCAAATTGCAACTACCAAGGGTTGTTGTGTTTGTCAACATGTAAAGGTGTTGTATTTAGTCCCGTCTAATCGACTTGGAATAATCTCTTTTGTCACTCTTCCCAACGCTGCCCCTGACAAGTGAGAAGCAGCTTGACAAATCCCCACAGTTATTCTCAGATCATACCAGGGTTCAAAGTTAGGACAATCTAATTGATAGGTCAGATGACAGACCTAGTGGTTCATACCACACCAAAAAAAGACCACAATTCAGGAATGTCCAGTCATATAGAACAGTTCAAAATAGCGTTAAACTTTCATTCAGGGCCAGCTAACTTGGCTTGTGGGGTCAGTTTTTAACAACCCATAGCCATTAGTCCAATATATGTGGTAAAGTTGTATATCGGTCTATAAAACATGTTGTAAACATGGTATAATTTATGTAGAAGATGTGATGGTAGCCAATGTGGTGTAGAATGAGGAGAGAGAGAGAGAGAGAGAGAGAATGTTATAGTCATCAATAAGATGTAAAACTAGTTATAGTCCAACCTATAAATAAACTAAAACATTATAGCTGGTCGACTATATCTACCAGTAACCTATTAGTAAACACAATACAGTATGCTGGTCGACTATATCTACCTGTAACCTATTACACAATAAAACGTTATCTAACTCAACCTACTCATTCTTACACTCAATTTATTCATTCTATGTAAGAATAGGCTTAATCATCAAATTTAAACTTTTTCTTAGATGATGGCAATGAAACAGTGTTCATAGTCTACAGCAACTATGGCCTACATGTATGAATAAAAAAATTGTCCTAATGGACAGTCTTATTTCTATTTAAAATTGTCAGGGGATCTTTATCTTCACTGGACCTCTTTTCTTTTGGTCCCATCTGAACAACTAGATGCCTTTTCCATGCTAGGCCCTCTCTGTCCTAACAGTGACAAGGGGACACCACTCTGTCCTACCACTGGAAAATCCCAATGAACTTACTAAACCATCACTTGAAATGAACAATATTAATATCAAAGGGTACACGATACCAAAGCTTGCTAAACAGTCTACTTCCTAATTCCTCAAAATAATCCACTGTTAATCTCTAAACGACTTAATGTCTCGCTCATTAATTGTCTCAACATTATGATTAAAGATACATTATGTAAGATTTAGTTAAAGAGCTGACCGTTCTTGCTATAAAAGTTCCAAAATAGATAATGTAAAATGAATAATTTGAAAATTTCATTCAAATTACTTTATTCCGAGCGAAGATATTAGCCTTTGAAGGTTTGACAAGACGGGTGCATTAATTTCAACCACCGTACTGGTTGTTCCAAGCTAAGTCTCGCTCCTCCATTTTTAGCTTAAATCAAAATATGGCTGAACTGTTCTAATTTATTGCCTGGATAGGTTAATTAACGTCTAATTAATAATTTAGATAACATTTCAGACCTAAAGAAAGACCTACAATAGGCAGATTTACTTCTTGCATAATGTATGATTAATTTAATATATTTTTGAATGATAATGAGTGAATCTAGTTGATATGTACCTATGTAATATATAACTAGTTACAGGTAAGTATACATAACATGATCTATTAGTACAGTATATACAATAATTCTATCAATCAAGATTGATCAAATAACTTCCTGGTTTTAACACCTATTAACAAACTAATTAAAAAGATAGGATCCACAGTAAATAATGAAATGAAATGAAATGGGGTTTAACGTCCTACTGTTCTGCTTCTATATTGGGCTAATGAAGACGTGCATACACCATACAGTGTGCTATGAGCAGCGGCACTACGGCCTACTCTTATATCGAATTCCAATTGCCAAGGGATCTTTTATGTGCACACCAATGTGTACAGGGGACCTCGGTTTTTCGTCCCATTCAAACGACTAGACAGCTGTAGTTGTCAGGCCCTCCGTTCTGCATCACTGACAAGGGGAAACCACGCCGGAAAATCTGGATGAACTTTCTCGGCCAATGCAGGGACCGAACACCCGACCTCCAGGCTAGCAAGCCAGCATCTTACCCACTTAGCCACGTGATCCCCCCAACCACAGTAAATAAGTTGTCCAAGTCGTCCAGGTAGGCAAACAATAAAGCTTTATTAGACCATGATTAACCATGAATACGATCATAAAGATAACATTGTTTGACTGAGACTCTTCAAAAACAATTTATGATGCCTTTAATATTCTTCTTTATAACCACAAACACACAATGTCAATCTATATTCCGTGTCAATCTATATTCCATAAACACACCATGTCAATCTATATTCAATGTCAATATATATTCCATAAACACACCATATCAATCTACATTCCATGTCAATCTGTATTCCATGTCAATCTATATTCCACAAACACACCATGTCAATCTTTATTCCATGTCAATCTATATTCCACAAACACACCATGTCAACACAACAAACCCACCATGTCAATCCGTATTTGACTAAACACAATAATCTGATCTGATCTAAATAAAATGAGGTTTAATATCCTACTATTCTGCACCTACTGGCCTGATGAAGATGGTCATACACCATACAGACACTACAGTCGACTCTTTATTTCAAGAGTGTTATTACCGGAATGTAAATGTGTGGTCAGGACCTAAGTTATCCATCACATCCAAAAGATGAGACACTGTTCCTTGCCAGTCCTCAAGTCCTGTACCACTGACAAGAGGAAAACATGCTACAATCTAATCTAATGCATCAGATTCAATCCACTAATATGTTCCATAAAATTGTTTTCAAATTGCTATTTTAATTTAAAGTAAAGTGATAAACGTTTTTATCTATTGCCATAAATATTGTTTTTGTGAAATGTAAATTTTCTGAGACTTAATTAAAGAATTTACTCTACTGGTGGTATTTTAAGTGTTCCTGAAATTCCTCTCATTATATAAAAGATTTTAAAAAGACTAGATGGCTTTGATTTGAACAAATATAAAAAATTCAATTTAATTAAATTTGATGTTTTGATATGTTTTGCCAAATGGATTAACAGAGTAAAAGAATCAACATTGAGATACAATTGATTTTATGTGCAAAAGTTCCCATCAGGTTAAAAAAAACCAAAATCCAATATCATTAAACAAATTGTTTCAACTTCCATATTTTCAGATATCAATTTATTTGAAATGAAATGGGGTTTAACGTCCTACTGTTCTGCTCTGACTTGGCTAATACAGTGTACTCCGAGGGAAATTTTGCATGGGCAACGGCGCTACGGCCTACTCTTATCTCGAATTCTAAATACCAAGGGATCCTTTACGTACACGCCAATGTTTACACAGGATCTCCATTTTTTGTACCATCCAAACGACTATACGTGGTCCCTTGCCAGGTTTAATTTATTTGAATAAATCTTGATCAGTTACTACTCAAAATAAGAGAAAGTTAAAATAATATACATCGTTTAATGGAATACAATTACTGTGAAACAAGAGTATTATTCAACCATTATTCTTATCTCATCATCCCAACTAATGCCTAGAATATCAGTACAATCAGAGAACCAGTCGAGTTGAAGATAACAAAAAAAAAATCAGATATCAGCAGCCAAACATAAACATATCAGCATTTAATACGATGTAATAGCAATACAAACAGCACATAGCCCAACCTTTAATTTTGTTGTTATCCTGCATGTTTTCCGATTTGTTGTTATTGCTTGTCTATATATTTAACCGCACCCATTTGTCACTGTACCTGGTGATATCACTGGAAGTGGAAGTGAAATAACGCTAGTTCTCACACAGATAACATATTCGTGTGTACAGACTTCAACTATCGCTGTACATTGTTGAAAATATTCACAGTATACTCTTAGTAATTGTGCTTCCTGTATTATATGTTTTTATGGTATATCTATGGTTTTAAAGTAACATTTCATCTTTCTATATAAGTATGTCCTATAGTATACCTATGGTTTAAAGTAGCATTCCTTCTTATATAAGTATGTCCTTTAGTATATCCATGGTTTTAAAGTAGCATTCCATCATTCTGTTTATAAAGAAGGTTTTTGAATGAGATCAACAACTATTTATAAAACTATTTAAAACATCTAGTATAATGTTGACATTTCTTGTTTTACTACTTCAAGTTGAACACATCTCCTGTTTACATTCATTCATACCATGAATGTCCAACCAAGAATATACACCGAATTCCTCACCTCCACAAAACCACAATCCTATACAGATATTTAAACGACGATGCAACAGGAAAGGAATGAAGTTAAACTTCTTATATCCGTCATTTATATTTTTTTAACTACGGAATACATCACTTCAGTTGTACGGCCATTTTTATTTTCAAGGTGACATGTGCATTGTCAGAATTAGGTCCTTCTAATATAGAGTCCAGTCCGCAACTCCCTAAACAAATCGCCCCTACCCATCCTTGTTATTACTTCTTGATCAAATGGTTAGGGGGTTTGAGGTACAATGAGGGGTGTCAACGTACAAAAGACTGCAATTAAACGGCGGAAAAAGAAATTGACAGAAAATAATGGTTTTAATTTTATTTACATAATTCGCTTGCCCGTAGGGGTCTTTAGCAGTGGGAGGAAACCGGAGGACCCGGAGAAAACCCATGAGGTTGGACAGGCGACCCTACTCCTTGCCACGTACAACCGGGGATTTGAAACCACGCCAGTCGACTCAATGACAGACTTTATGATACAGCGCGCGCAGGCTAACCACAAAGCCATCAAACCCCCTCCCCCTGCATATACAAAGGTTTGAGGGAGATTTGAAGCAAATGTTTGATAGGTTAATTAGTTTGAATATGTTTTTAGTCCAAATATATCATCAAATCACACACTACGCAGGAAAGTATCTTTAATAGCTTTGAAATATTAAAAAAAAAATAAAAATGAATTTGTTTTGGTCTGACTGTAGAAAATAAATCAAACACTTGACATATCTTTAAAGAAGATGCCAAACTTTAATCAAATAAACCTTCCGTGTTTTAAACTGTACGATGTTATTAATTAAAGTCAGCCAGTCAAGATGTTGAAAGACACCCTATAAAGATGTTTTTCTACTGACTGATTTAATCTTCACGCCAAACACATCATATCAACAACTGATGAAATGAACGGAATCAACACAATATTACGGTTGTTTTCAGATTTAAATATACATACAAAAATAACAAATCTATATGTATCATCAACACAATAGTTTGGACATTTAGAACCTATATATGTAAAAAAAAAAAAAAAAAAAGAAAATTTATTTTATGGTAAGAATATTCTTGTTTTTTGGGGTTTTTTTTGTGTAAGCTAAATTTAAATACAATATTTTGGACATTTTGAACCTTAATACATGTATGTAAAAAAAAAAAAAAATGTTGAGATAAAAATATTCTTGGTTTTTTTTTCAGTGTAAGTTTAATTTAAATATTATGTATTTTCTACTGAAATCAATATGTGTATGATATATATCTCTCTATATATAGATGATGGTAGAAAAATTACCATCTACAATTTGCGACTGTAAAATTACGCATAAAAATGCGTGTGTGTATAGGATCTAATAATAACATCAAGTAAACAAAAACCTAAGTTTATTTTTTATATTTTACTATTTTAAGCTCAACACATTTATTAATAAACTATAACGCATAATTATGGAAGAACATTTTATTTGAAAACACGGACAGAATACTCCATGGAACAATGCCTAGATAAATTAGTAATTGTTTTTCCATAAGTATGTGTTTATTGCTATATCCCATTACTAAATGCCTCTAAAAGATTAACACATTTATTAATAACTTTTATCATTTTAAATAGAGAGTGAGAGAGAGAAATGGGGTTTAACGTCCACTCGACACAAACTAGATCATTTCGGGACTAACATATGGTTTTTAATTTTATTTCAATAATTCGCTTGCGCGTAGGGGTCTTTAGCAGTGGGAGGAAACCGGAGGACCCGGAGAAAACCCATGAGGTTGGACAGGCGACCCTACTCCTTGTCACGTACAACCGGGGATTCGAAACCACGCCAGTTGACTCAATGACAGGCTTTATGATACAGCACGCACGTGCTAACCATTCGGCCATCCAACCCCCCCATTTTAAATAGAACACAATTTGTATTCTACACGTTTCGACAAGTTTACTCTTATTGTTATCAAAATATCCCATTTTTACCTGTGTAATTAGGTCGGACTTTTACCTGTGCAATTAGCTCAGACTTTTAAATAATCAAATCACTTTATCCACCTGTGTTTACTCCTTCAAAGTTGAATTAATTCTGCATAATATTAAACAGATTAAAACAAGGAAACCATACATCAATATCTGTCTCCCTCGTCTTATTTTTTAATTAAAGTTCAACTTGTATCACAAGATGCCACATTGATCGAACTTTAAATTAACTGACTTCACATATCCACTGATAAACACAGCTATTAACTTTTTACACACTTTAACTAACTCAACTAGTCACAGAGAGAGAAGTTCGATAGAGAATGAGAGATATTTTGATCAAATTGGCAGCCCCTTTCATCAACACTAGCCTCTGATGAACTCAAGTTGAGGTAAATTTCTTGGCTTAAATCTGTTTGGGAATGTTATAGACATGATAAGCCATGTGGATATATCAGTGACCTCTGACCTATAACACCTGTCTGTCTGTCAATCATTCAAACATCTAACTTCTACATTGTATTGATGGAGGAGTTACTTCCCTTTTCATACAGATAAGGATTAAAATTGTGTTCATTTTTTTTTTTTAACACCTTCAAAGTTCCAGACTTGAAATAGGTATTTCAGGGTTTCCCTTGTAATGTGAAAGGTGAATTAACAGATTTCTAAATCACATAATATGAGGGGTAGGGGTGGGATATGAACTTGACATGAAAGACCAAAAGAAATGGGGTTTGAGTGGTGAACTGGAGGCTAGAATTAGCTGTCAACCCCTTTTCACACACAAATTCACAACATATTTCCAGAAACATGTCCACCAAAGGGATTGGAACCAGAGACAATTACTAGAGGAGGAGGAGACGGAGAGAAGAAAGGGGTGGTGGGGGAGGAGATGGGGAGAAGACAGGGGTGGGGAGAGGAGGAGGAGACAGGGAGAAGACAGGGGTGGGGAGAGCAGGAGGAGACAGGGAGACGGAAGAGGTAGGGGAGGAGGAGACAGGGAGAAGGGGTAGGGGAGGATGAGACAGGGAGACGGAAGAGGTAGGGGAGGAGGAGACAGGGAGACGGAAGAGGTAGGGGAGGAGAAAGGGGTAGAAGGAGACAGGGAGAAGGAAGGGGTAGGGGAGGAGGAGACAGGGGGTAGAAGGAGACAGGGAGAAGGAAGGGGTAGGGGAGGAGGAGACAGGGAGAAGGAAAGGGTAGACGGAGACAGGGAGAAGGAAGGGGTAGGGGAGGAGGAGACAGGGAGAAGGGGTAGGGGAGGAGGAGACAGGGAGAAGGAAGAGGTAGGGGGGAGGAGATGGGGTGACAGGGAGAAGGAAGGGGTAGGGGAGTAGGAGACAGGGAGAAGGGGTAGGGGAGGATGAGACAGGGAGACGGAAGAGGTAGGGGAGGAGGAGACAGGGAGACAGAAGAGGTAGGGGAGGAGGAGACAGGGAGACGGAAGAGGTAGGGGAGGAGGAGACAGGGAGACGGAAGAGGTAGGGGAGGAGAAAGGGGTAGAAGGAGACAGGGAGAAGGAAGGGGTAGGGGAGGAGGAGACGGGGTAGAAGGAGACAGGGAGAAGGAAGGGGTAGGGGAGGAGGAGACAGGGAGAAGGAAAGGGTAGACGGAGACAGGGAGAAGGAAGGGGTAGGGGAGGAGGAGACAGGGAGAAGGGGTAGGGGAGGAGGAGACAGGGAGAAGGAAGAGGTAGGGGGGAGGAGATGGGGTGACAGGGAGAAGGAAGGGGTAGGGGAGGAGGAGACAGGGAGAAGGAAAGGGTAGAAGGAAACAGGGAGAAGGAAGGGGTAGGGTAGAAGGAGACAGGGAGAAGGAAGGGGTAGGGGAGGAGGAGACAGGGAGAAGGAAGGGGTAGGGAAGGAGGAGACAGGGAGAAGGAAGGGGAGGAGGAGATGGGGTGACAGGGAGAAGGAAGGGGTAGGGGAGGAGACAGGGAGAAGGAAGGGGTAGGGGAGGAGGAGACAGGGAGAAGGAAGGGGAGGAGGAGATGGGGTGACAGGGAGAAGGAAGTGGTGTGGGAGGAGAAGAAGGTACATGTAGAGGAGGAGAGGGGAGAATGGAATAAATAACTGATGTAAACTTACCTTTAATATTTTATCCCCTTCCTGAACACCACATCTTGCTGCTGCACCCTCTAATAAAATAAACAAAACAATATTCAATATATATACAATATACACAATATATACAATATACACAATATATACAGTACAGGACTATATAATGTCTATATGTAGGTCAATATCAAGTATTTAATTGGGTTAACAGTGACACACACAATTGATTATTCATTAACATCAGCTTTTTGTAATTGAAGTAAAATATTAAATGAATACAGATTGTCATTCCACTGAACAAATCACCATATAAAATCCACTGAAATGACCCAGATAAAAGTGGGTGTGTCATTTTAATACAGGATATATTTGGTGAATAGCTGATGATGCATTTAGTACAGTTTGAAGGAATGATGTTCACGCAGTTTTAAACAGACTCCAATCCATCTAATAAAAATAGGTTGCCAGGCAACTAGAGCAGAGAGAGAGAGAGAAATGGGGTTTAACGTCCACTCGACACAAACTAGGTCATTTCGGGACTAACATATGGTTTAATTTTATTTCAATAATTCGCTTGTGCATAGGGGTCTTTAGCAGTGGGAGGAAACCGGAGGACCTGGAGAAAACCCACGAGGTTGGACAGACGACCCTACTCCTTGTCACGTACAACCGGGGATTCGAAACCATGCCAGTTGACTCAATGACAGGCCGTATGTTACAGCGCACGTGCTAACCATTCAGCCATCCAACGCCCCTGGCAACTAGAGCAACCAGAGGACAATAAACCAGAGAGAGAGAGAGAGAGTTTAACTCGACTTCTCACAAACTAAGTGAACACATGGTGGGAGGAAACCAGAGGACCTAGAGAAAAGCCACAAGGTTGGACAGGCGAACCTACTCCTTGTCACATCAGTCAATAAAATAACCGTGTTCGCAATCGCAGTTGTGATCCATTTCCAACGTTCGTGCGAGTCAACGGAAAGATTGATTAACGGAACTTTACTTGAGAATTATTTTTATCAGAATTAATTTCAACTGTTAGTGCCTCAAACTTCAATAAGAAAACTTTTCTATACTACATTTAACAACATAACAATCAATTCGGGAGTGATTCCGTTTTCGGTCACGCTTATCCAGACATAATAAAAAAAGTGGAAACATTGGTCACGTGTCTGGAAAACATGACTACTAAGCTGTGTCTTCACTCTCCTCACTATTGCTTAGTCTGATTATAAAATTCACGATTTTCAATGTTAAATAACAAGGCTCGAAGTTGGTCTCATATTCACGGCAATCTCTGCACGATTAAACATTATATTAAATATTATTGTGGATGTTCAGAACCAGATAAATGAATAACGCTTTATTTACATGCATTCATAATCAAGTACAAGTTATTTTAAAATCATATACCAAGGTCTTTGTTGCCATAGGGGGAGGGTTGGAGGGTTGGATGGCCGAATGGTTATCGTGTGCGCTCTATCATAAGATCTGTCATTAAGTCAACTGGCGCGGTTTTGATTCTCCGGTTGTACTTGACAAGGAGTAGGGTCGCCTGTCCAACCATGTGGGTTTTCTCCTGGTGCTCCGGCTTCCACCCACTGCTAAAGACCCCTACGCGCAAGCGAATTATTGAAATAAAATTGAACCATATGTTAGTCCCGAAATGACCTAGTTTGTGTCGAGTGAACGTTAAACTCCATCTCTCACTCTCCCAAACTGTAATTTATAGGCTATCATGGTAAATAAAAAGTATGCTTTTTCATTTAATTAATATTGAGTAGTCATGATAGATTGTAACTGCACCTCAAATGACCAAAACTACTAATCAAAATTTGATTTGATAGCAAAAATTCATTAAAACTGTTTCACACTGCTAACTTATTGCTGCGAGTTATTTTGTTCCCTGTAGGGTGGTATCAAATACCGGCCATTTGATTCAATAACAGACCCAACCCAGAACTGTTATTCAACATTAATCATAATTTTAGCAGCTGTGACCACTTTATGAGAACAGACTATAGCCACATGTTGTGTTTAATATTATTTGAATACAATCAACCAAAACTAAATAATGGATTTTCAATCTAAAACATTGAATTTTTATAGAGTTTGCGGATACTAGGTGCAAATCCTGAGTGTAAAGATTTTATGTGTATTGACTGTAAATCAATACAGAGAGAGAGAGAGAGGGATAGAGAGATATATTATTGCTTTTAGAATTAAATATAAAATACTTTTATTGACCGTTAAATGTTTTAATGATATGGCATCGTTATTTTACTTGTCCTGTCTGCTGGATATTTATAAACCCTGTGAATGGTTCGGTCATCCCGTGATAAAACTACTGCTACTCGATCCTCCTCAAGTTTATTATATGTTTAACATGCACCCAGTATCAATTGAACAATTCCATGGTACATATCTCTAGTCCCTAGTGTCACCCCTGCAGATAGTACCCATGACAACAGAATACAGGTTTGCAACGGTTCCTCTTGGTTCATGCCGCCAGTATTTCGAGTTGCACTAAACCCCTTTTTTGTCTGTCTGTAGCTCATGCCAGGGTTTTGAAGTTGGCACATTCTAATCCATTAGACCCCTTTCTCTTCCACCCTTTAATATGGAAGTTTAGAAACACTTAAAATTCTAGGAGTTTTCCGGGACTTATTTACCAGATTCCAGGAGTCTCTGTATTGAATTCTACATCATAATGTATTTTTTTTCACATTTGAAGAACATTTACGGCGACCAACTCGGGAACTTTTGAAGAACATTCGATGACCACATTCAAGTTTTATAATTAAAATATATAGCGAGACCACAAATTAATGTTAATTTTCCAGGAGTTTCAAGGAGTAACCTTGTTTTTCCAGTACTGGAAATCACATTTTCATTTTTCCAGGATTTTCAAGGAGTTTCGAGGAGTGTGCGAACCTCGTACTGGCAGTTGGATAAAGAAAGGATGTTTGTGATAAAACGTACCTGATTTAACAGACTGTACGAAGACAGGATTATCTCCACTTACTGTCAGACCATAACCCTTGTCATCACGCTGTACTATAACACATCTCTGTATCATCTGATCGGTTGTGGCCCCACCTCCCACTGTATCACCGGTAGGACTCTCGTTACCGTCACGTTTAGTAATACTACTGTCATCTTTAGCACTTAAACTGGACAACCTGAAATAATAAACAAAAAACATCAATATTGTGAATTTATGCGTAAATGAAGATGTCAATAATTAATCAGGTTGGACAGATGGCCCTACTCCTTGTCACGCAGTTGACTTAATGACAGGCTTTATGATACAGCACGCATGTGCTAACCATTCGGCCATCCAACCCCTCGCTCTACTTCGAGAATAGATCTCTGTCCTATTGGTCCTACGCCGGTTTACATCTGTTAGGCTGACCTTAAAAATATCTTTGTTTCGCCAAACCCGACCCACAATCGAGGAGAAGGGTCGGTAGGTCGTCGTTTTTTTTCAGATTTTTTTTTAAAGAGCTAATTTGACAGCTTGATAATTTTCTGGGGGGGAAACATTCGTCTTTTTTTATTGTCAAACAAATCAATGAGTATGACATCGGGATTTTTCGTGATGCACGACTCCGAGACTCGCACACGATTTGCCACGAACTCTAAGTGTGAAACCCCTTCAACACGTTTTTAACGATCGTGCGGGTTGTGCCTTCATTTTTCTCGAAAACGGATATTGAAAATATCTTCGTCATGTTTAAAACGACGCCCCACAGACATAGAGGCAGAATCATTTTGTGGGAATAGACGTGCTTTCGTCTGCAACCATTTTGTTGAGAAGCGACACCTATAACGCTTTCGTCTTGATCAACCAGTTTCAATAATGAATCAAACTATAGCCATAGTAAAGGGAAATAACTCTCGTGATATATTTCAGGTTGACACACAAAATAAAATAAAAAGATCGCGGAAAAGTGCAATAAAATAATTTAAGTCGGGGGTGGTTTTAGTTAGTCGGTCGCGTTAGGCGAAACAAAGATATTTTTAAGGTCAGCCTTATACACAAATTAAATTTGTTCAATTTTATTAAATAAAAGCAGAATATCATACTTCTCAAAAGTCTCGAAATATGCTTAGTGTTTTCAATTAGAATTGTCGATTTAGGAATTAAAATGTCCGTCAACTAGTTTAGTGTCTGTAGACAAACAGTATAGTTTTAGTATGGTCTGTATGCAGAAACTCATAGATAAACCTGTATTAGTATATGGATGCAGACCACTAATTACTTTCCCTCCCTGTCTCTCAACTTGATTTTTTTGGCCATGAATCAAAAGGTTTAAATTGACATTTCCTGCCAGGTTTTGGTGTATATTCATGATTTTGAGGCGGATAGAAAAGGGAGTGAAAAGGTTACAGTGATATGTATGGTGGATAATTAGAGCAAGATCGTTAAAAATGATGAATTATGCTTCCATTACATTTCTGTGAAATCATGATGTAACCAGGAAATTGACGTCATATATATTTTGTATACATTTATTATCACCCTTTCAACAAGATCTACATGTACACGAACAAGTAAGTTGAGAAATCCAAAGGCTGGTGATATTTTCCTCAAACAGAAATAATCTCCATTCATTTCTATGAAAGTTGTACAACATGCAGCTGATGAGGAGTGTCTTAATTCAACTATGCACCATATGTATACAGTATTAATTAAAGAGGCAATAAGTCCATAAAGCCAGAATAATTTGTCAACTCCTAGTTAAACATCCAGATCTATTAGTAATTTATACAGTTTAAGCTACAGTAGGCCTAGTTGTATTGTTCATGAATAATATCTGTTGTTTTCCTTTTATTTTGGTAAGTACATGTAATTAACTCATGAGAGAGAAGAGAGAAAGAGAGAGAGAGAGAGAGAGAGAGAAAGAGAGAGAGAGGGAGGTTTAACCTGGACAAAAAGTAGGTCATTTCGGTACTAACATATGGTTCACGTTTATTTCAGGCAGCAGTGGGAAGAAACCAGACGATCTAGAGAAAGAAAATCCATGAGGTTGTACAGGTGACCCTACTCATCACGTACAAATAGGGAATCGAAACCACACCAGTTGACTCAATGACAGACCGTATGATTCAACGAGCACCTGGTAACCATTCGGCTATTCATCCTCCCTCATTAACTCAAGAATTAAGAGTTTCAACTACTGTTTTTGAGAAATAAGGATGTTCGTATTAAGATATACTAGGTTTGTAGATGACAATACTATGGTATGTTTAAACATGGTTGGCTTTTATAAATTAATATCAATATTGGTACATTAAATATGATGAGATCATCCCAAGTCTAATATTATATATTGGTTGTTTAATTAATTAGAACACATTACTAGTCTAGCTACTACACACCTTTCTCTCTACCCGGTTCATTAGATTAACTTGTTCAGGTAACCCATAATATGAAAGAGACAAAATAATTGAAGGGACATCTCGCTAAAAAGTTTTACTGATGAATTTCAAAATTTAAATCATTGTGGGAGTGTAGTAATGGTATTGGCAGGAAGAGATAATAACTGTGGTATATGGGGAGTGGGTCTATGTAATGATGCTATTGGCAGGAAGAGATATAACCTGTATATAAAGTGTGGTATACGGCAGGTGGGTATATGTAATAATAGTATTGGCAGGAAGAACCTGTATATTAACTATGTTATACCGGGGTGGGTGGGGGGTGGGTATATTAACACTTATATGATGGTATTAACAGCTAGAGATATAAACTAGATGTGATTATTACCTTATAATTAGGTGTAAATTATTCATAACCAGGGTCATTATCACACCCATGATATATAAATATATATGATAATACACAGTTAATATTCCCTACTGTTTTATACTGTGACCCTAAAGGTCAGATACCTGTACACATTAAAATTATCTTTCTTGTCTCTATAAACTTTTCCTTACTTTCTCCATGGACTTTTAAATCCCCTCCCCCCCCGATTGAAATGCAATTTAACGTCCTACTTTTCGGCACCAACCGGGCTAATGAAAATAAGCATACGTTTTGTAAATCGTTTTCTAGAAGGAAAGGTTCTTTTACATAAACACCAATGTGTGCACAGGACTTTGTTGGGTTTTTTCCGTTCCATCTGAATGTTTTTCTTTGCCAGACCATGCACCAGTGACAATGAAAAATGCCTGAGCCAGTGCCCTAATCACCAAGACAAGAGACTGGATGACAGAGTGAAAGTTGCTGATGGTTGTTAAGAATGATTCTATACAAAGTGACTGGATGACAGAGTGAAAGTTACTAATGTTTGTTAAGAATGATTCTATACAAAGTGACTGGATGACAGAGTGAAAGTTACTAATGTTTGTTAACAATGATTCTATACCAAGATGTATTTGTATACATTCCAGAATAATTATTTTATTTGTGTAATGTAGGAACTGGGTTAAATCTTTTGTTTGGATGGTGACAATACTCTAAACGTCTCTAGACATACTACTGATATCATGGTCACGCTTCACTCACATTTATATAACCTTTAAGGTCATGACCTTAATCTGACCTTCTGATGACAGGTAAGAACTATATTGTACACCGAAACAACACAGGTAATAGAAACCTGCCCAGGTAGGGGGTTCAACACATTGTTTTATCTTAATGAGCCACAAACAAAAATAATAAAGTTTTTATTGTTTCACAGGTCTGGAAATGATCATTTCAGATAAACGTCAGATTGAACTTCATCCTGCACCACTGACAAGGGGAAGACAATATTCATAGTTCTACCTGATAATTTAAACTTGGTGCTGGATATACTTACTCTTGCCAGAAGCTCTGTCCTGCACCACTGCCAAGAAAAGACAATATTCATAGTTCTACCTGATATTTTAACTTGGGGCTGGATACCCATCCTTGCCAGAAGCTCCGTCCTGCACCACTGACAAGGGAAGACATTGCCTGAAAATATTGAGGGATGTTCTAGGTCAACACTGGGATTGAACCCAGACAGAACCTCTTGGATTGAGTGTGTGACATACTCAACAAGTGGGATGAAACCCAGTTAGGGCCTCTTGGATTGAGTGAGTGAGCAACATACTCAACAATCAAGCCTGGAAATAAGGCACCTGCCACAGACAATGCCTGGCACAGATTCAGGCTTTGTCAGACACAAAACCTCTGGTGCCTGTCATTTTGTCCGTCACTGATTTGTGTTTTTTATTGATATTATTAATACATGTCCAGCACTAAGTTAAAAATGTCAGGTACTATTTCATTAGTGTCTGACATTTTGTCAGGTACATCTAAAACTGTTATTTCCAGGCCTGTCAACAAGCATCCTCAGTAATATGGAGAATAAGTTCAATTAGCCATATATTAGTTGACATACAAACAACAGATGTTAACCCCATCTCCTTCAACTTTCACATTATCACGCGACGTTGACTTTATAATTTTTGGTGTGTAATTTTAAAAATCTTGCATAACTATTATTTTTGACATGGTGAGCAAATGATATTACATAGATTTGATCATAATTAAAATATTTTATGAGGGTCTGCTAGATTTTTTATGTTTGATACATCTAACAACATGCTGAGATAAGTGATGAACTAGATTCACCAATTACAGAACAAGTTTGAGTCCATCTAGAATAATCTTGAGACTAACATATGGTTCAATTTTATTTTCATAATTTGCCTGTGCATAGGGGTCTTAAGCTCTCTGGGACGAAATTGGAGGATACAGAGAAAACCCACAAGATGGGACAGGCAATCAAAGCTTCATCAAGTTGTAGCCATGAACAATTGATTCTGGTCACAAACAAAATGTCCAAACGACGAGAAGGGATCACACGAACGGTGACTAGATCCAACTATAGGGTAAAAATGCTCAAATATATATTTTATTGGATCATGCACTACACTCATTTATCCATGCAATCACACGCTGTGACAAATTGATCAATCAATACATATTTAATTCATCAACTAAATATTCGAATGACAGAATAATGAGGAAAACCATTTTATCATGCACCATACTCCACTGGATGCATGTTGACATGTAATGACATGCTGTGATTAACCAATATATACTATTCAAAAAAAGTAGGGGATATTTGATTTTGGGGGCATAATACTAAAATATGCAAATGACTACGAAAAAAGTCACTATAGAACCTAACAGAAGAAATATTTCCAGTTACATGTGACGCCCAAACGCACCAATAGCTACCGCATGGAATGCAGGTGATGCTTGGGATCATCATGGGGGTCCAACCCAAGATTTGCACGACTCTGACTTTGAATGTTACAGTCATTGTGGCATTGAATTCCAGGGTGGAAACATCAGTTTAATTGTTTTAGTGACCAGAAAACAAATTTTGATATGCGTCGGCTTACCCAAAATGAAAGGTTACGTGCCCTTGGCATGCTACAGATCGGCACAACACAGGCGGTTGTGGCGCGGACGATGAATGTTTCTCAGTCTGTCATAAGCAGGCTATGGTCCAGATACCGTGATACACAATCTGTACAGGACAGACCACGCTCAGGTCGACCAAGGGGGACAACTCAAGCCCAGGATCGATTTATCCGTACCTTGGCCTTGAGAAATTGTGTCATCACAGCAAATCAGATCAGCGCTCGTCTTCAAACAGACACTGGTGTGAGAGTGAGTGGCCAGACGATTCGGAATCGGCTGCATAGGGGTCACCTTCGCGCCCGACGTCCTCGCGTGATCCCTTGTTTGAGAGATCATCACATTCAGGCAAGACGTCGTTGGTGTAGGGATCGTCAACACTGGGATAATCGACGCTGGAGCAATGTGATGTTTTCAGATGAGTCAAGGTTCACTGTTGATTTTTTGGACAGACGTAGGAGGGTGTGGCGTCGTCGAAACGAGCGCTTCCAAGACGTTAACGTCATCAGACATGATCGATTTGGGGGTGGTTCTGTTATGGTGTGGGGAGGCATCACTGTTGCTGGAAGAACGGCTTTACATGTTGTTGCAGGGCGTGTTACAGGCCAGTACTACCGGGACAACATCTTGGCAGTCCATGTTGTGCCGTTCGCACGACGTCATGGCCGCCGTTTCATCTTCCAGGATGACAACGCAAGATGTCACAGGGCCAGGATCGTTACAGGTTACCTCCAACAACAGAACATCACCACATTACCTTGGCCAGCACTGAGTCCCGACCTCTCCCCCATCGAGCATGTCTGGGGCATGCTTGGACAGAGGTTACGTCAACGTCAACAACGTCCTGTCAATGTCCAAGAACTTGCTGCTGCGTTGCAACAGGAATGGGACAATCTGGACCAAAATGACCTTAGACGTCTCATTAGGAGTATGCCACGTCGGATCAATGCTTGTTTGGCAAACAGAGGAGGATTTACCCGTTACTGAATTGGTTGTGATGCTGTGGTAACTTTGCTGTTTGACCCCGGGTATCATTTTACCCTTATAATGGTCAGTCTGTGCCTTACTTAGTCTAACGATCATTTGGAATAAATCGATGAATGTGAACTTCATTTCATTTTGTCATTTGTTTCTTCGTCAGTTTCATTAGGTGACTTTAATAACACTTAAAAATCAAATATCCCCTACTTTTTTTTAATAGTATATATTCAACAGGTGAATGTCATAAAGGTAGTGCGTAGCTGGAGAATATACAATATGATATTTATTATTAAAACCACATGATGTCATAACATCTATTGTGTTTGATGTCTGCTCATATTCTCTAGAGTGCCTGACAAGGACAGCTGTCTAGTCCTTCGGATGAGACGGAAAACTGAGGTCCCGTGTATACATTGGAATGCACGTAAAAGATCCCTTGGCAGTTGGAATTCGATATAAGAGTAGGCGATAGTGCCGCTGCCCGGGCAAAATTTCCCTCATAGCACACTGTATGGCGTATGCCCGTCTTCATTAGCCCAGTATAGGAGCAGAACAGTAGGACGTTTTAAACCCCATTTCATTTCATTTCATTTCTTTACCAATATTGAAGGGGGTGGGGGGGTAGGAAGTTCCCTAGATTAAAATGACATTTGTCTTTTTACTAATATGGGGCGGGGGGTGCAGTTACATGTATCGAACATGCATTTTAAATCAATAATACAATTCACCTTAAACAATTTAAATTTGTGGGGACTAACATCGTCTTTGCAGAGTCCAGGTATGACAGCCCTACATTTTATTTAGAGATGTGGGTTACTGACGACTGAGTGTCTAGCGTAGACTGTGTTACGACAACTTGAATGTCTAGCGTAGACTGTGTTACGACGACTGTGTGTCTAGCGTAGAATGTGTTGGTGATGACTGAGTGTCTATTGTAGACTGTGTTACCAACGACTAAGTGTCTAGCGTAGACTGTGTTACCAACAACTGAGTGTCTAGCGTAGACCGTGTTACCAACGACTGAGTGTCTAGTGTAGATTGTGTTACTGACGACTGTGTCTAGAGTAGACTGTGTTACTGATGACTGAGTGTAGACTGTGTTACTGAAGACTAAGTGTCTAGCGTAGATTGTGTTACTAATGACTGAGTGTCTAGCGTAGACTGTGTTACTGATGACTGAGTGACTAGCATAGACTGTGTTACTAATGACTGAGTGTCTAGCATAGACTGTGTTACTAATGACTGCATGTTTAGCGTAGACTATGTTACTGACGACTGAATGTCTAGTGTAGACTGTGTTATCGACGACTGAGTGTCTAGCGTAGACTGTGTTACCGATGACTGAGTGTCTAGCGTAGATTGTTTTACCGACGACTGAGTGTCTAGCGTAGACTGTTTTACCAATGACTAAGTGTCTAGCGTAGATTGTTTTACCGACGACTGAGTGTCTAGCGTAGACTGTTTTACCAATGACTAAGTGTCTAGCGTAGACTGTGTTACCGACTACTGAGTGTCTAGCGTAGACTATTATTGAAACACATACATGTATCCTTAATATCATTTCATTTCTCTTCTTCAATTTCTGGTGGTAAAATTGTTTATGATTTTACATGTGCTTGTGTGTTTTCTCCAAGACCATGTTGTCATGGATAATGTGTAATATTTTCAGGCATGGATCTTAGTTTTACCCAACAACAACGTCTGTGATCAAGGCCTTATTTTCAGATTTATATTTTAATTTTAATAAAATCTAATTTTTAGATTATTTACCTGCTTCGGAAACCACCTTTTTTATGTCCATCGGATGGCGAATGATGGAACAAATTCTCCATCGATCCGAACACATCCATAGATCTCCATTTCTTCATGCTGCTTTGTTTTTATAAAACTTCTAGCCATTAAATAATACTGGATAATCACATATCAAAGTTATCCAGTACACTTTTGTATTGAACCCTGCTTGATCATTTTTCTTTTCACATATATTTATATATATTTATATATCACAGATGATGTAATCCAATAAAAATATCCACTGAAGACCGAGTGATGATATATCCAAGACGAGTTCAATAATCCAGTAAATATATAGATATATTCCAATTTAATTAACTCTGGGAAGAATTAGAACAGATTAATCCAAATTTATATACACATAATTTTAAGAATCACTGATTTAAAACTTATTAAATCATAATACATCCACGCAATATTTAAATAAACTCACGACGACGAGTGTTTGTGTTGTGTGTGACACTGTAGAATAACTGTCTACAGGAACTCAAATTACATGACAATCTGCATCGCCCTGTGACTCATCAATCCAGTCTATATTATATCACTAACGCTAATTATCGCAATTGATTAAAATATTGTTCTATTTATAGAGGACAGAACGTCATGTCTTAATCTAAGTCTAATACAAATAAACTGTTCCTTATCAAGTCATAAACACACTGCAATATAAAAAATAAATTGTAAAAAAACCTTGTATTGTTTCCTTTACTTGTAATTTCAATTAATAGTTCTTTCCTTATTCTATGCAATAAAATTCTAATCTAAACTAAACTAAATTTAACCAAGTTGAAACTTTAATTTAAATAACTTTCAAACAGAATTCTTTCTGGACCAATGATCTCATCAAGAACTAGAATCACTTTCAAACAGGAAAAAATATCAATCATTTCTAAATATGAATACCACTTTTCATTTTCCTATTATAGAAAACTTATCACTCTATCCAAAACATTTCAGTTTCTAGTTTTTCAAGATATTGATAAATAAATACATATAGCCAGTGGACACTTGTGACATTGTTCTGCTTAAAATTTCAAAACTTCAAAATGTTTACATTTTTTTTTAGAAGAGCAAGCAATAATCTTTTATTTCTAAACTTTTAATGCCAAGAAATTAGAAAGCAAAATTTGAAAGGTATTCCCAAAGAATAAAATTTAAAATTCAAAATGACGTGAATGTAACCATATAATCCATACAAATTCATCCTGTAGTTTCTAAAACATGATTAAACTACATCTGTGAAACTTTATGACTTGTGAACTACAAAAATAAACAATTTATGATTGGTTAGTCAGTCAATTCTCCACTATATCTCCTGTTCATTTCAAAACATCAAACTAAATTAAACATCACAAGTCACCATCTGTGCGGAACTTTATAACAGTGAACTATAATATGAACCCTGACAATTTGTGGTTAGTAAATAAATATCGTATATTAATTCTCTACTATATCTCCTGATCATTGAAATCTCAATCTAAATATAACGTCACAAGTCACCATCTGTGAAACTGTGAACTATAATATAAACCCTGACAATTTTGTAATATTTTGTAATTGCTTGGACTGTGAATAACAACATTATTTCACCTCAACAACCTCTATACTAAACATCGCAATAAATACAGGTAAAAATACACTTTTCATCCAACTGAAAAGATTTCTTAAATAATCTAGATTTAATAAAGTTGTTATGTGATTGTAAAGCATAATATAACTTTACAACATTCAACTACGACACTTTCAATAGGAGGCTCGTCAGTAACAAATAAAATGAGGTTTAACGTCCTACTCCAACTGGGCTAATGAAGACGACCATACGTCTTAAGAGTGCGTTATGGCCTACTCTTATTTGAATTCCAACTGCCAAGGGATCTTTTACGTGCACGCCAATGTGTAAACGGGACCACAGGTTTTTTTTACGATCCGAGCAACAAGACATCTGTCCTTGTCAGGCCCTGCACCTCTGTACTGGAAAATCATGATGAACTTTCTCGGCCAACACCAAAAGCCGACCCACAACCTCTAGGCTAGGAACCAACGTATTAACCCCTCTGGTCAATAACACAAAAACAGTCTTTTCCGCCTTCTATTCCAACTGTCAAGGAACCTTTTATTTATCAGACAAGCAACTAAAACTTATAACAGTCATCAGAGAGTAGTATATATATACATGTATAGGGTTAGACACAGAGATTCAAGTTGCCTCTACAGACTGGGTTAAATGATGATAAATGTTTGTGTGCAAACTTTAAACCCTTTTCTAATCAGGAAGAATGCTAGATTCCAAGTTGCAGAATAAATCAAAGATTTCATTCAAATAATGTTAACACTTAAAACAACTTCCCTGGCCTAAATGTATACAACTTCTATATACAGCTATATATGGTGATACACCATGAGACATAAAGACCTGTTTATATATACCGGTATATATATGATTTATAAACTATATATGGTGATACGCTGTGAGATATAAAGACATAACAGGTGTATCATAATAATCTCCATATTTCTATAGAAAAAAACATCTTGACCTAAATAATCAATGAAGCATGTTATAATATATTATATCTAGTAATAACCTATTCTATAATCTTTATTCATCACACAGTATCCTATCTATTTCAACACTTTAACCACTCTCCAGTCTTCTAGTAACATAACATTCAACATCTATATCTATTTCAACACAGTATCCTATCTATTTCAACACTTTATCCACTGTCCAGTCCTCTAGTAACATAACATTCAACATCTATATCTATTTCAACACTTTAACCATGAAATACAGTACAATTACATTCAAACCAGAGAGAGAGAGAAATACATGTACAGTACAATTACATTAAAACCTCCATTTCACACAAACTAGGTCATTTCGGGATTAAAATATGTCTCAATTTCATTTCAATCAATCGCTTGCGAGTAGGGGTCATTGGCAGTGGGAGGAAATCAGAGGCCCTAGAGAAACCCATGAATTTGGACAGGTGACCCTACTCAAGTCATGTGAACAGATAAGTAATGAAGGGTGTGGTGTATGAGGCAGGTTGTACAAACATTCTTTAGAACACAGGCTGATATCACTTCTAAATGCAGGCGCCATGCTAACTTATCCTACAAAGTCAGTTGTATCATTTTTTATAACATCAGGGTAGGGTGGTTTGGATGGCTGAACGGTTAACACATGCACATTGTATCATAAGATCTGTCATTGAGTCAACTGGTGTGGTTTCGATTCCCCCGTAGTATGCGACAAGGAGTAGGGTCGCCTGTCCAACCTCATGGCTTTTCTCCAGGTCCTCTGGTTTCCTCGCACTGCTAAAGACCCATACGCGCAAGCAAATTATTGAAATAAAATTGAACCATATGTTAGTCCAAAAATGACCTAATTTGTGTCGAGTGGGCGTTAAACTCTCTCTCTCTCTCTCACCCCCTCTCTCTCTGTATTGATTCACAGTCAATGTGATATAATACACATAAAATCATTACACTCAGGATTTGCACCTAGTATTCGAAAACTCCATAAAAATTCAGTGTTTTAGATTGAAAATTCATTATTTTGTTTTGGCTGATTTGTATTCAAATCAGTGTCACAATGTCACGTACGCCTTCTCAAAACAATAATAAGAATAGCGACTAAACACGCTAATAAATTAAGGCATGCGTTACAGATCTAATATAATGGCTGCCATATTTTAATCCCCGCAAAACACCACCATGATTATTGAAAGAAAAGCGTTCCTTCGACACGATGTTATAAAATTTGTGTTTTTATCAATACATGAACCATGTGCATGAAGATACAGTCATATCACATAATAAAATATCTGAAGCACGAAATTCACATAAAAATTCATCATAAATTTTCTAGTTTACTAGTCAAGCATGTTGCTAAGATACCACGAGAATATTAAATAATAAGGCTAAATATAAGATAATAAATATTTCAGGTTTTTTTTAGATTGAATAAATCTTTTAACATGTCTGTCTTTAGTCAATCAGAATCAACACGATACCTGTATCAAATAAAATAATGCTCGACCTCTAATATACCTCCCACACCCCAATTTTGAATTTGGACCCCTAGCTGAATTAGTCATCACCTAAGTTCATTGGATTGAGCAGGGCGAATTCTTATCGTAACCACCTTTAAACGAAAGTCTAAGAGAATCGGTCACAAATTTTTCCAAATGAATACTCAGAAAGTGCTTCAAGGTGGTCATTTTGAATATATATAAATTTTCCAAAGGGTGGCAGGATTCTGTATCTACACATATTGAAGATATATAATTAAATCAATCAAAAAAAATTAGGTAGACTGTACATTTATTTCCAGGTCTGTCGTCCTGCTGCCCAACTAATGTACAGACATGTGGTAAATCTGTTATTAAACAAGTAATATTGGAAATCACCGGAGTAAATTTTGATCCCAAGTCAACTGAAGAGGTACTGCTTTTTTCAATGAAATGAAATGAAATGAAATGAAATGGGGTTTAACGTCCTACTGTTCTGTTCCGACTGGGTTAATTTTACCCGGACAATGGCACTACTCTTATATTGAATGTCAGGTGCCAAAGGATCTTCTACCTGCACACAAAGGTGTACCCAAGACCTCGGTTCCTCATCCCATCCGAACAACTCGACAGCTGTCCTTGTCAGGCCCTCCATCCTACACCACTGACAAGGAAGATATAACATGGGAAATCGTGATGAACTTTCTCACCCAACACCTGAATAGAACCTGTGACTTTCCATTTTGTGTTTTTTTTTTTACTTCAAGGAACCCAGCCTAGAAATAGGTTATTAACAACACCCATAACACTGTATTGACCACTGATATTATATATATGTGATAAGACTATATCATATCCAATTATTTATTTTACGTAGGTATTTATATCCTAGTGGATTTTAATCAGAAGGAGATATCACTTCAATGACATCCTGTTAGACAGTCATATTGAATCATTAGTAAGAAACAATATTACCTATACATCCGCCTAACAACTATATACGTTTGACATCTAATATCACAAACAAGTCTCATATATCATGTCAATCACGATATACAGATAGAGAGGGAGAGATGGAGTTAAACATCCACTAGATATAAACTAGGTCATTTTGGGACTAACATATTGTTTAATTTAACTCAATAATTTGCTAGTGGGGTTAAACATCCACTAGATATAAACTAGGTCATTTTGGGACTAACATATTGTTTAATTTAACTCAATAATTTGCTAGTGGGGTTAAACATCCACTAGATATAAACTAGGTCATTTTGAGACTAACATATTGTTTAATTTAACTCAATAATTTGCTAGTGAATAGAGGTTTTTAGCAGTTGGAAAACTAAATAGGCTGGATAATCTACCCTACTCATTGTCACGTACAAGCGAGGAATCGAAACGACGCTACCTGCTTGACTCAATGACAGACCTTATGATCTAAAGCACACGCTTTAAAGTCAGCCACCCTCCACAAAGAAAGATGGTAATCAATAAAAGACAGGTGACATGAGTGGGAATACCCTGCCTTGTGTATAATACCTGTCAGTAATTACAAGTCAAATGGAGTTTAAGTTCCTGCTTTTCAGCACAATTGAAAACTGGCATATGCTACATGTATGTGTATGCTATTAGCGAAATTCTGC